AAAATGATGATGAAAAAATGTAAAGGGACGAAATAGATGATGAGAGAGCGAAAATAATGATGAAATAATGTAAAGGGATGAAATAGATGATGAGAAAGCGATAATGATGATGAAAGAATGTAAAAGGAAAGAAGGGATAATGAAGGAGCGAAAGTAATAATAAAAGTATAAAAGAAACAAGGTGAAAGTGATAAGAAAGTGATGATAAAACAAAGAGGAAGCAAAAGGAATGATATAGAGAATAAAAAGAATAAAAAACTGATTAGTACTGTAACTACTGTTTAGTAATAAAAAAACAATAACAATAAAACAGTAAGAAAGCAAATCTTACCTTAAATTCCTTGAAACTATTTGAAATTATTGTTATCTAAAGAAGACGAAGTTAGCAAAAAGCAAGCAAAAAAAATAAATAAATCTATTTTCAAAACTAACGTGTAAAAAGTATGTAGTACAAAATCACCTGGTGAATTTCACCAGGGTAAAATTAAAAATTTTAATAATTTGCAGATCAAGGTGAAATTCACCGAAGGTGAATGTAAAATTAATCCTTTATTTAATTTCTTTGTAATCATAAATAAAATTTCTATTTATTGGTTGTAAAGGGCAAAAATTGGATAAAGAAAGATTTAGCACTATTAAAATTCATAAAACATACAATATACCCAATAGAGGGCAAGATAAAGAACCTATAATTCGTAATGTTCAGTCTAACAAACATAAAGGTAATTAAAAATTATAACTTTATTTAATTATAATTTTATTTTATTGATTTTTACTTCAAATCATCAGGATAATCATCACCATTGGCCAGAATTATTAATTTTTACCGGCACTATATTTTTAATGCTAGTCAATCATCATAATTTCAGTTACTGGTAATCATCACCCTTCAGTGATAATTAGAAAAATTCTATTTTATTGATTTTTTTTTATATTAACTAATGCACAAGTTAAAAAATCAAACATTACAAAATCAACTGTGAAATGTAGATATGCAAATTCTAACAAGAAAACCAAAACAATTTTCACAATTTCTGATTCTGATGATAATTATGATGATAATAATAATAAAGAAAATTTAAACTTAAATTTCAATAAGCTTGAATATTGAGAGAGAAAATTAGCTTTAAAAGAACATGAAATTTTATTAAGAAAATGTGAAGCAAAAGTTCATGTAATTGAACTATCCAACAGAAGTATATGAACAAATAAATATCTCTTTATTAATAAAAATTCTGCAAGCATTAATAACAAATAAATAGCTAGAAGATAATAAAAATAGTAAAAATGAAAAAAACATATATAACTATTAGATTATATAGATACTATCAGATTAAAAAGTTTTAATTACTATTAGATTATAAGATTACCATTAGATTAAAGAGTTACATAAAATAATATAGTAGAAATAAACTAAAACAATATCTAAAGAATCATAAAGGAATCCAGAAATTAGATTATAAGTTATGAAGTTCAGTTACTATTAAGTTATACAATTAGGTTGTTTAGTAATATACCATTAGTAAAATAAAAGATTCTAGAAAGTTATCAAAAAAGCATCTAATAGAAATTTGTGATTTCTCATAATTTTTTATTTAGAAATTTTTTTTTAAAAAAAATAAACATTATCATCCAATTTTTGCCATAAGTTGAATAAATAAGATATTTATTATTAAACAAAATATTAATCTATTCTTACTTGGTTTAGATTTTTAATAATTATTTTTAACTTAAGTATTTATTTTTAATTTCAAAAACTTAACTTTTAAAAAATTAACTTAACTTTTTATCTTTTATTTACAAACTTGAAAAGTTTCCTTCTCATTTAAATCATTATTTTATTATAACTGTCACTGTAAATAAGACAGTTATGCTAGTAAATGATATATAATAGTTATTTTACAGGAAACTGTAAATATCAATAATTTTTATGGCATACACTTTTCATTATAAGAAAAGGCTAAAGAATTGAAAGTTTATATTTTAATAATTGTGTTAATCATATTTTTATTTATTTTATTTAAAAAATATTTATTTTACAAGTTAACTAACTAAACTATCGAGTTATTCTAACTACAGAATTATCTATTGAATGATTTGAAGCCTACCTATATTTATATTAATTGATATTTCATTAAAGATTTTAAATCTTAAATTTTCTATTATTATAAAGAAAAATAATCTTAAAAAATAATCTTAAAAAATAATCTTGAAAAATAATTTTATTAATCTGCTATTGTAATGTTTATCCTTCAATGATTGTATTACTAACATAATTATTTTTTTTTTTTTTTTTTTTTCCAGCAGTTTATTAAAATTGTACTAACATAATTATTAATCTAAACTAATAATAATTAATTTAATATAAATAATTATAAATAATTAAACTATAAATTATTGTATTACTATAAGTCTATAACTTATTATATTCTTCAATTATCTTAGCTAAATATTTTTTCTCATTCTGTTTAATATATTATTTATCTTTTGGGTAATTATTTTTCTAATCATAATTATATTATTCTGATATTTAGGATTATAATATAAAAATATTAAAAAAAAGAAATAAACTTTAAAAAAAAAAAATAATAAATTTTAAAGAATATATAGAAAAGACTTAAAAATAAAAGATTATAAATAAAAAATAAAAAATAAAATTTTAATTATTCAAAAAATATGAACATAAAAATAAACAGAAAGAATCCTTCCTAATCAAATTCTAATTGTTTTTTAGAAAAATTATAATTATAAATATTTTTAATTAATATAATTAAAGATGTAATATATAATTATTTTTAGAGGTTCTTGGAAAATGATTAAAAACATGTGATGATGAAATAATAAAAAATTTTAAATAATTATTACATTGAGAATCACCTAAAAAAAAAGAACTGTTAATAACAGTTTGTTAAAATAAAAAATTTCATAAAGAAAACTAGTTTGAAACCCATAAAACTGGCTGTTTTCTAAAAAAAGGATATTAAAGAATGTTAAAAACTAACATTCTTAACAAAAAAATTTTAAAAAAAATAAAATTTCTCTTTCCCAGCATATCTTATATCTACTTTATTTTAATAGGTCCAGAAAGTTGCAACTATATACAACATTTTTATTGTAATTATAATACAGTATTATAATTATTATATAATATTATAATTATTATTAGTATTGTAATATTATATTGTAAGACATGATCGCATCTATAATAAAGTTTTTTAAATAATATATCAATCATTTTTTTTTATGATGACTGATGATATTTGTCTACAAAAACTTATTTTTGTAATTTTTATTTTTCAAAAAAGGAAATTTTTGAAAAATCATAAGTGTTGTAATATTATAATATTTTAATTTTAAAAGTAATAATAGATTACAACACAATATAAGATAGTTATCATTAATTATATATTATATTTTTAAATATAATTGTTATTAAAGAGGTATTCTTTTATTTTTTAAGTTAATTTACTATTTTACATTTTATTTTTTTTGAATCTTTATTCTTTAATTTACCAATAATTAAATGAAAAAGTTTTACTTATAATGTTTAAAATTGGCTAAAAACACTTTAAGTAAAGATTTTATCTTTATTGATCCAAAACTTTTGATGTATGGAGGAAATGTATGTTGGAATCATAATTCTATTGAAAAAGAAGTTACAATTATAATTAAACATATAAGGGAAACTCAATGGATAGAAGAAGTTTTCAATTACATAGAAATGAGTATTGGAATAATTCAGAAACGCTTATAAAGATTGAATGGTCAAGTATGTTTAGAGTTCTTAAAGGCAATATTGAATTAACAAATTTTACAGAATACAAATTAAACTTATTTAAGGTCAAAATTTGGACAAAAAAATTACTAACACTTGATAATTTGGTTAAAAAAAAACCACATATTTATAATTCTAAACAGAAATATCCGATATACTTTAAAGACAAAGAAATATACTTACATTTATGGAAATGTGAATATTTAGAACAAGTATATCTAAATATGATAGACAAATTTCAACAATATTTACAAGAATTAATATTAGTTAATAGTCAAATGGAAAATGCAAATTCTGATGATATTTTTAAAGAAATTTCATGTTGTAAAATTTGGGATTTCAATAAAACATATAATTTGTCTATATTAATAAAAGGTTTTATACATATAGATTTAGTTAACTTATTTAAAAGTTATAAAATATTAGATAAAGATAGGATAAGATTATTAGACGGTTTGGTTAACAAATTGATTTTTTGACTTCAAAATTTTTATATGAAAATATAGGAATGTTAAACTAGCTGATTTAGAACATCAGAAATGGATTAATATAAAGATGAAAAAATTGGCCAATAAATCTAAATTAGTAGTTAATAAATTAGATAAAATAGTAAGTTTACATTGGAAGCTATAGAATAGTTTAATATTCAATAAAGAAGGTCATTAGTTAAATTTTTGAGTTTTTTATGATGACTGACGAGTCACCTTTGATCTCAAGGTGACAGGTCAGTCTTTTTCTTTGGGAGGGGTAGTATATTAATAATGTTAAATTTATTTAGAATACCTTATTTTATTTTACTTTTGTAAATATATTGTATTACTTTAACATTATTATTAATAAACATGATAACGCTTTTACATAGAGAAAAAAAAAAAAAAAAAAT